TGCCCATGAAACATTTTATCGCAAATAGTACACCTATAGCCAATGTGTTTCGTATTAATGTGACGGTTCAATCTAACGATATTTATGAAGCTGACTCCACAAATTTGGCAAATGTGCGAATGGTTGATATGTTCTTTGTTCATGTGGTACATGATGGAGGTGAAGTTGTCGAATTGACTGTCGCAGAGGACGCATTGCATGACGTGGGTGTCTAAAAAGAATGGTAAGAAACAAGCGCCGGCCGATTCGTCGTACTCTACACCGTGCACTGTCACAATGTGCGAGATCAGGTCTTCGCAAGTGTTTATGACGATTGCAGGACAAAGTTTACACGCCAACTCTGTTACATCAATCTTGACAGGAATATCTTTGGAGATGATTTTCTGTATAAAATCATCCAAGTCCACGGTGCTGTGTCTAGTCCGGTTGTGTTCAGGTATGGCGAGACAATCCTTCATGGGAGTGGAGCAATAGAAGCAGCTGAAACCTTTGGTGTGCCATTTAAACGGAGAGACGTTGCCATAGCGGAGGACGGCCAGCACATTCCTTCTGAGTACATCCACCCGTCGAGAACTAGCCAATACTTGAGGAACACTTCTCGCTTTTCGGCCTGGAAAGAGAGTATGCCAGATTTTTATGCCGTCATTTACTAAAACTACACAATGATAACGGCTGTTCCGAAGTGTAAGACGATTCATTTTTAAAAAGAATTGTGAGGATAGCTATTACGTCATTGGTTTATTTTAGTGTTTCATTACAGTATCTACACCGCTCACATCGTCTATAAAGTTAACGATTTCGACTTTGCAAATGTCTACCAGATTCGAGTTTTCGTGTCTGTTGCGCATGTGCATCTTATAATAAGCGAATTGGGCGAACGACTTATTGCAAATCGTGCAAAGGAAGCGTTTATCACCGGTGTGTATGTTGGAATGCGAGTTCAAGTTGCTCTTTTTGGAGAACTTCTTCCCACAAACACTGCAAACGAATTTCTTTTCCCCGTTGTGCTTAACCATATGGAGCTTTAAGTCGTACGGCCCAAAGAACTTTTCCGCACACACTTCGCATTCCACGTTCTTTTCTCTGAGATGCACCCGTCTCATATGCCTGGACATTATACTCTCTTGGGGAAAGACTTTTGGACAATGCGGGCATTTTATTCTCAGCTCTTCCACCCCATGCACATTAGCCATGTGAAGCTTCTTGGAGTAAAGACTTTTGAATAGCTCTGGACAATGCGGACACGAAGTTAAATTGACCGAATGAACGTTCCTTTCATGGAGAATCTTCTTGGACAAAGTAGTCATACTAGCGCCACAGTACTCACACGTGTAACCTCCTTGCCTATGATAGTACCTATTATGCATCTTTAAATGATTCTCTCCCTGAAAACTAGTTCCGCAAACATCGCAAATGTAGTCATGGGACAGGTGGTGCTTATTAGCATGACGGAGAAGGTATTCAAAGAAAATGAACTTCATATTGCAAGTTGGGCAAGTGAGCTGATCTTTGTCTAATCTGAAGGGTAGTAGACAATTGGGTACGCTCACATCATATTCGGCGTCATGCGCTATTATCAGATGATGTATTAGCTCTTCTAGATTCGTTACTGCTTTCGGGCACAGAGTGCACATAAGGTTTGTAATGTCAATTTTGACAGCTGCATCTTTGTTCCTATTGTTTTTGGTCCTATCGTGGACGATCAACTCTAGATTGTCCGCTTCGTGCTGAGCTGTATGCTCTCTTAAAGCTGTGGGGTCTTTCATTGGTTCCGTGCAATAGAAGCATCTATATCTGCTCTTGTACCACAAGAATGGGGTTGCGTTACTGTACTGAAGGACGTATTCTATGTTACGCCGTTTAACATTTAGCTTACGAGTCAATTCCATTTTCTTATGTTTGTCCTCCATAGTGCTGATTTTTGCACCTGCAAAGAAATTTGTCTCTTTTTACATTTTGTTTGCTTTTATGTTTCCTTCTGTTATTTCTTCATCTTTTATTTTATTTTAGGTTTATGAGTTAGTGTTTGTGTTACAATGTATTACTATCTAAGCCTTGGCATTGTGGTAAGATGAATTATTGTGAAGATAACTTATATCGAATTATTCATTACTTAATTCGTTGAAAAGAGTCCTCTTAAAACTATCTTCCAAATAATATTTTCTAAGGATGAACCTTATCTTTTCATATTTAATAGTAGCGTTCAGCCTACGACTTAAGCCGCGTAAACTCTATACAACTCCAGTTGTTTTGATTTTACCCCAAAAATTTCATTTCCCATTTCCAAAACTATAACCTCTTTCTGAATCATCATCAAAATTTTCAACTCAAAATATTTAACTCGTCAAAATGAGTATGTGTGCCAGTTAGCTCATGTAACCTATGTTTAATGCTAACCTATGTTAAATATAAAATAATCGTCTTGCAGTGCCCAGAGTTACTTACGGAATAAATTCTGTATTGAAATACAAACTGTATTTAATCCGTGAAAATTGGTCGGTTAAAATCATATCCTCAGGTGTGTCACAGTTAGATTAGACCAAGGAACTTATATACTAACTGGAATGCTTACGAAACAATATGGGAATTCAAAAAATGTACTCTAACTAGTTACACATAAAGTCCATTTTTGTTTCTACCTTCATAAGGGGGAAAGATACTCTTAGCGCGACAACGATTTAAAGTGGAATCTGTCCCTCTCTTGCAACTGTTTGAGCACACTACTAGAACGAGAGAGATTCCACCAATTCAGCTATGGTCTTGGAACGATTTTAAGGGTCGCGTAAGCATTCCAGTTAGTATATAAGTTCCTTGGATTAGACGCATCTCTTTGACGTAAGAACATAGATTTTCAAAGATTGTTTTTCCTGTACATATAAAACAATGGACGATGAACTTCACTATAGTCTATGTTATGACATAGACTATAGTGAAGTTCCGTTAAACCCGAACCCGTTTATTAACCTGTCAGCTGCGGTAAAGCCTCCGCCTAAAACACCCCCCGTCTGCGGGATGATTGCGCGACCGCAGCGCGCGCTCGACGCGGTTTGAAATTTATTCAATAACTTGAATAAATTGTTCGGTCGACATGCAGCTAAATATTTTATTTCAATTATAGATAGTCAATGTACCTTCTTCTTCAGTAATTTCCTATAGAAATTGTTTCAACCTTTTTATTTTTAACAAGAATCGTAGACAAAATCAATTTCGCACCTAAAGTGGCATAAATGCGATTTGAATAAATTATACGAATACTTGTGCTTTTCATTGATAACATTTTCAAAGTTGAATAACAAAACAACAGATTTTTGCAAAAAAATATAACGTTTCAAGTATTTATTCATATAAATAAACTGTTTTAAAAATTACTTTTTAGTTGCGAGCTCCCCGGTGCTCGATTTTAAAATCGTCGTATTCACGGTTGTTTGGTCATAAGAACGACTTCACCACAATGAGTGAATGGTTTATTCATCTGGGTATAAAAATCAAAAGCCTTTGAACTGTATTGCATTATATTTATAATAAAGGAAGGATAAGCTTGGATTAGTTCCTCCATATTTTGTCTCTGTTCAATGAATGACAAATGGCATTCGAGTGACATGAACAAAACACGGCGCAATAAATCTTAGCTTATTCCTTGTTTATTAATTAAGGGGATAGAGCGCACACGCGACTGCTGTGTACCAAGTTGTATACCAGAAGGGGGACTAGTAGGTCCCTAGAGCGTAGAATTCGCTTTTCGACCGTTTGTATGAAGTCGGACTACTGTATATTTATAATGCGATTCAACTAAGAATAGGACCGACTGGGCGCCATATTGTGATGTCATAGCTGGTAATTCAAACCAAATAGGTAGAGTGATCAAAAAAGTTTTTATTTAATAAAACTTATTTACCAAGTATAAGTGAGAAAAAGCATCAGATTTTTTTAATAACATTTATTTACTAAGATTGAAAAAAAAACAACGATTTTTAATAATATTTATTTATTAAGACTGTGAGAAAAAACGTTAATCAGAATCTAGTTCTTCTAAGTGACATTTGGTTGACGATTTAGGTTATCAACCATTCATGGCCAAAGCTCAATAAGTGAAAAAAAAAATATCAACCGATATTAATTATCAATATTTGTTTACAAATGTTTGGTTTTTATTCTTGAATCAGCGGAGTGCTAAAAAAGGGGTTCCAAGTTTTTTTTTGCAAACCGTACTTTTCAAGCGACAAATATCGCTAGATAGAGGTCATTGGCTTTCCTATTCTTATTTGAATCGCATTATAGATATCAGTACCCTTAGCACGAACCAATATCGAATTCGTAACGTTTGCGAGTCCGAAATGCCATTGTCAATGTATATTGTGTACTGATTTTTAGTTCTCGTTATGTACTTTGTGGCACTGCTATTCAAGTTTCCATACAAAATTTGACATTGACATTCCGCACTCGCAAACTATTCGAATTCGATATTTGTTCGTGCTAGGGATACAGTACTGTGCCAAGGTTTAAGAACTCACCAATTTTGACAGGTTAAATAGTATGTATTTAAACACAGAGTTCACTGTTCTGCTTAAGAGAGTTCAAGTTGCCTTTATGTATTTCTAATACTATGTGTATGTATGTTCTTGAACATTTATTTCCATATAAATGTCTTGCCCTTAGGTTTTGGGTCAAATAAAAAAAAGACTGATATTTAGATAATTATAATTATCAAATAGTATTGTTACATCTTATAGTAAAGTAAAATTATCACAATATGGATTTTATTAATACATTCAACGTTTTATTTCAGCTGAAAACTACTTAGTTTTTTTCAGTTCATGGTATTATTTACTTATTTTTTTTAATCTATTAAAATAGATACAAGTCAAGAAAACTTTAAAAATAAAAAATGTACTTAGCAGTAAATTGCTTAAATAAAAATATTATAAATATGTACATTTAAAATACGTTTAGGTTAATCAATACCTATATTTTGAACAGTATCTATATAACAAACATATAAATATAAATGCATTATTTGATTTTTTTTTTAAATCTACCAATTTATGTATAAAGCCCTCGAATTGACTTATAAAATAATAGAATAGAACATTTTATTTATATTTTTGAGCCATGCAATAAAGAAATTATGTTGTGTTTTCGAAACCGGTTTCAAAAAAGAACTACAATTTTTATCGAAACCGGTTTCAAAAAAAACTACAATTCTTTTATCGAAACAGGTTTCAAAAAAAGAATTACAATTCTTTTTCGAAACCGGTTTGCGGCCCAAGAAGTGGTTTTAACAATATCTTAATCTATAACTTGAGTTTATTTATAGTATCAAATACTTTTTTAACTGGTTGATATATTTAAAAATCTGTATAGTTTTAGAAAAAAATATTAATTAATGTTTTCGGGCTCTGAGAATAAAATACTCAAGACGTGGATGTATGGGCTTGTGCTCTTTGCCTGCTATTTATAAAATGTATGATTTATTCATTCATAACTTACATTTTAACCTATTTTATAATATATTTAGTTTACATAGTTCTATTCTTACATAAAATGGGGATTTTAACTTAATAATATTTATTATTAATGTAAATAAAAATCTCATTAAATTTTACACATGAGTAGTACAAGTTTGGGTCTAAACTGTGGTCCTTTGATTCTTTATAGGTAACACAGTTGCACGGCTATTTTTAAGGATTTGAAGGACAACTTTTGTCATCCTTGCTGCCACAGTATTATTAAAAAAATATTCAGTAATTTGCGTCAGCAACAATAAAAATAGCCACTGACACTCTTTTGTGAACTGGCAAATATTGAGGTCAAACAGAAACTTTATTCGAGAATAAGAGAGTTAGGGGCGATTCTTGAATTGTCCAAAAGAGGTTAAACTTATAGCATCAAGCAGTTTCAACCATTTTTATACTTCTAATTCATACTCTATTAATAAGGAAATAAGGGTCAAAATCAAATCAAACAGTGCTTTATAGAATCCAGCGAACTAGTTTATCATATCATGTAAAAGGCCAACCACATGACCATATTTCTTATGCATTTCCATGTGGGAGTGCAAATTGCTGCGTCTAAGGAAAGCTTTACCGCACACGTTACAACTGAATCTTCTTTCCCCCTCATGCTTCACCATATGCATCCTCAGTAAGTAATTATCGAAGAACTTCTCGTTACAAACTGAGCAAACTACGTTCTTCTCTTTCAGATGCGTCCGTCGTATGTGGTCTTTCATGAAAGAGTTCCGCGTGAACATCTTGCCGCACTGCTCACACTTATGTCCTATGTTGTGCGTTTTGATCAAGTGCTTCTGCTTTTGGTACTGAGATTGGAATTGCTCAGGGCACTTCGGGCACTTGTAGTCTTTCGCGTTGTGACATTTAGCACGATGCCTGGCCAAACACCACTGATTTTTGTACTTCACCCCGCAAATGTTACATTCGCAGGACCCAGTGTGCGTATAGGATATGTGCACGTTCAAATTGGCGACGCTCTTGAAACTACGGCCGCAGAAATCGCATATGCGATTGTTTTTACTGTGCTCCGAGTTCATGTGACGGAGCAGTATGCCGAAGTAGCGGAACACGCGGTCTGGGCATTCCGGGCAAGGAATGTTGTCTTTCATTATGTTGAAAGGCTCCAGGCAACCTTCTAATGACTTGTCGTAATTGGCTTTATGGTCAGATATCAAATGGTCGACCAAGCGCGTGAGATCATCCAGTTTTCGACTGCACAGCTTACAATTCAGCGAGTTCACGTCTATCTTCACGCTCACCCGTTCCCCTTTGCATTTCTTCATGGACTTGGATTTCAAATCGCAAACCGGATGCTCTGTTCGCGTATGAACCTTTAAATCTTCGAAATCGACAAACTTTTTCGAGCAATAAAAGCATGAGAAGTTAGAGAAGAACTTGAAAGGCACAGCAGTGGACATGTTCAGCACACACTGTATGTTTTGCCTGATCTGTTTCACGTTCTGTTTCTTCTTCGGTTCAGAATTGTTTTCTGCGGGGAAGAATTTATCTGCTGGTTCATCGGTCACTATTTGCTTCACTCTGCATTTACTCTTGTGCTGCTTCAAGCCCTGCTGGGAATGACATTGTTTGGCACAGAACTCGCACTTCAAGTTGCCATCGTCAGCATGCTCAACAGAAATGTGCTTTTGCAATAGAGCAAGAGAAACGAAACGCAAGTTGCAATTCTTACACTTCCTATAATGTACACTGTTTTGGTGCGTTCGCCACTGATAGAAACTGTCAAAGCTTTTCGCGCACTGATCGCAAGGATACCCGCCCGGCTTGTGATGGTATCTGAAGTGAACTGCCAGATCTCTCTTTTTATTGAAAGTTACACCGCAATCGTCACAGACGAAGGAATTTTGAGGATGAACAACGTTTACATGACTTATGAGATAGCCGAAATACGTGAATTTCTCCTCGCAGAACAAACACCGCATGTCAACCAGCCTGTAAGATTGATATGGTATGTCGACAGTTTGATCATATTTCATATTATGTTTGCCGATTAAGTGCTTGATGATTTGGTTTAAATCGCTAAAAGGTTCGTTGCAAAGCCGACAAGTTGTGTCCGAAACATCCACTTTTATTTCTATGTGGTTACCCTTGATTACCCGCAAGGAGTAATCTTTGGTCGAGCACGAGCCATGAGAGATCGTGTGCTCTTTCAGTTCGGCGTATTCAGTGAAGCCTTTCGGACAGTAGAAACATAGGAATCGCCCTCGCCATTTGAATGGCAGTACCGTGGTATTGTTGAATAAGATTTTCAAGTTTTGCCGTCTGCGCTCAGAGGCGCATCCTCCGTAAGGCACCGGAGCGTTATCATCTGAAAAGAAATTCATCTAGTTTTCATTGTGCCTTTGTTATGAACATTACATGCGGTGTGACTAAATCAAGCTTGGAGCTGAATGTTAGTGTTTTTTATGTGCGAGGACATGTGACCTCGGAGATTTTTCTTCCACAAGAATTTCTTTCCGCATATATCGCAATGGAAATTTCTCTCGCCGACGTGCTTAACCGTGTGCATTCTCAGAAGGTGGACATCGAAGAATCTCTCGAAGCACACGGAGCATTGCACGTTCTTCTCTTTAAGATGCGTACGACGAATGTGGTTGACCATGAAAGAGTTCTTTGTGAACATTTTACCGCAATAGGAGCACTTGTGCCCTGTAGCATGCACGTTGATCATATGTCTTTGCATCGCATACTGGGATGTGAACCTTTCCGAGCAAACCTGACATTTCGCTACTTTGCTACCGTGCGCGTTACCTAAATGATCGCGTAAGGCGTGTCTCGTAGTAAAATCTTTATCGCAAACGTTGCATTTGTGACCGTTAGGCTTATGCCGCAGCGTTATATGAGCGCGCAAGCTAGGATCTGTTCTGAAAGACATTCCGCAATAGGAACATATATTCCTATTCTCCGTGTGGCTAGTGCTGATGTGTTTTAAAAGCGTACTAAAATATCTGTATACCTCCGCACAGAAAGGGCACCCGAAATTGTCCCGGATTAATTTGAACGGTTGCATGTTGTTGTCAACAGACTTGTCGTACTGAGCTTTGTGTTCGGCGATCAGATGATTTATTAGAGAGTCCAAGTCTTGCATCGGTTCGAAACACATTTTGCACGAGAGAGATGACACGTCGATTTTGATTTTAATACCGTGCTCCCTATTCCTGAGTCTCAGACATTTCAGTTTGCTATTACAAGACGGGTGTTCCATGACAGTGTGTTCCTTGAGATCGTTGCATTCGATGAAATCTTTCGGACAGTAGAAACATCTGAATTTATTCATGAAATATTTGAAAGGAAGCGCGGTGGACATGTTGACTATGCAAGCGATATTACTCCTTATTTCGGCTACCGTAGGTTTCTTGATGTTATCATCGACATTTTCAGGTTCTTCGTATGGCAGCATATCTTTGCTCTGCTGCATATTGCATTTACCAGCGTGATTGAAAACAGCCAATTTCGTGCTAAGTTTTTTCTGACAGAAACCACACTCTAGATGGTCGTTATCGGAATGCGCTTGTTTGATGTGATCAACTTTTTTGCTGCGAGATGGGAATCGTTGAAAGCAAATATTACATAACGATACATGGGCCCGAGACTTGTGTTTTTGCAAAGCAGCGTTGCTGGGGAAGCTAAGTGGGCATTTTTTACAATTATACTGTTTTTTATGGTGTATCCGAATGTGAGACTCGAGGTCTCTCTTTTTATTGAATTTCCGCTCACAGTCGTGGCATACGAAACAATTTATTGGATGGCTGAGGTTAGTATGCTTGATTAGTTTAGAAAAATTGTCAAAACTCTCTTCGCATAGAACACATTTAAAATCTAGCAGGCGGTATGTGGTGATAGTGATGTCTGCGTTATTCTCATAGGGCAGCTGATGCTTCAAAGTCAAATGAGCAACAATGTCATCAAAAGATATAAACGACTCGTTGCACACTTCACAATTGATATCTGATACGTCAATTTTAACTTCGGCATCTTTAGATTTTACGAGTTTGATAGCTCTATCTCTGTCTGTACAGATGCCATGAGCTTTGGTGTGCTTTCTAAGCTCATTGTACTCGTCAATGACGTCACCGCAGTAAAAGCACATGAATTTCCCTCGCCACTTAAAAGGTATCAACGACGTGTAGTTGAACAATATTTGCAGGTTTCGCCTCCTCTTTTTACTAGCATGTTGCCCTTTTCCCGGCCAATTTTCATCTGAAAAGATGAAATTTTATTACTGGCATCATTTCATGGGCTTAGAGGCATTTCATTCAAACATTTAACTACGAAAATTATTTCTTAAAGAGTAAAATAAATGACACAATTTATTTTAATCGAATCGAGGACATATTCAGTGTGTGATGTGGCTTCTTTAGACTTTTTTGTGCGAATTCATATGGGCTCTCAAGTTCTTTTTCCACAAAAACGTCTTCTTGCACAGATCGCAACTGAACTTCCGTTCACCAACATGCTTTATCATATGATTCCTCAGTAATCTACCATCGAAAAAGGTTTCCGAGCAAATATTACATACTGCGTTTTTCTCTTTCAAGTGTGTCCGTCGCACGTGTTCGAGTAAGAAAAAATTACTCGTAAACATTTTCCCGCAATGTTCACATTTGTACCCTTTATTATGAACGCTTATCATGTGCCTCTGCATGGTGAAAGCAGAGGGAAATCTCTCCTCACAAACTTGGCATTTAAATTTCTTTTTACCGTGCACTCTTCCCATGTGACTCTTAAGAAAATGTCCCGTGGTGAACTCCTCGTTGCAAGCGGTACATTTGTACCCATCAGGGTTGTGGTTTGCAGAGATATGTACTCTCAAACTAGCATCAGATTTAAACGATCTACCGCAGTACATGCAAACCGACATTATGTTCTGCGTATGGGACAAGCTGTTGTGTTTTATTAAAAGTCCGAATTGATCGAAAGTCTCATCGCACGACGCACACGAAAACGTATGGTTATCAATCAGTTTGTAAGGTTCTAATTTTGACGTAAACGTTTTGTCGTAATCGCTTTTGTGTTCCTCTGTAATATGATTTGTAAGTGTATCGATATTCGTAAAGGTCTCATGGCAAAGTCTACAAGAGAGTTTAGATATGTCGACTTTGAAGCGATACCCTTCGTAAAGTCTAACCCTTTTGACATCATCGTCACTGCAAACTGGATGTAGTTGTGCTACGTGTCTTTTGAGATTGTCACATTCTAAGAACTCTTCGGAACAAACTAAACATTTGAATTTGTTATGGAAATACTTAAAAGGCATAATCGTTGACATGTTTAATATGGAAACAAGATTATTCTTTATATGAGCTGACAATTGGTTCCTGTTAAACATGTCAAGGGATGGATTTTTATCGACTTTCTTATAAACCTTCTTTTTGTCTTTGCACTGACCTAAGTGATTGATCACAGCTATCCTGCTTTGGTACTGCTTATCGCAAAAACAGCATTTGAAATCGTTTTCTTTGAAATGATCGCGCATATGCATAAGCCTCTTTCTGTCGGTCGAGAATTTCTCGAAGCAAACGTCGCAGATGAAATGATGAGGACGTGCATTGTGTTTAGAGAAGGCGGTTTTATTGCTGAATTTCAAGTTGCACTTCTTACAATAGTATTCTTGTCTGTGATAGTAATGTGTATGGGATCGCAAGTCCTGTTTCTTGTTGAACGATTGTCCGCACTCGATACAAACGAAACTATTGATTGGATGGCTACGATTACAGTGTTTTATGAGGCGAAATAAATTCTCGCACGACTCATTGCACAAGATGCATTTCATGTCTGACAACCTGTACGCAGTCATGTTGAATTCACGAACATTGTTATACTCCAACTTGTGTTTGAAGCGCAAGTGTAAAGTGACGCTGTCGATATCAGGGAAAGTCTCATCGCAGAGCAGGCAAACTATTTGTTCGGAAACATCAAATTTTATTTCCGAAGTTTTACCCTTCACGAGTCTGATTGCCCGATCTTGGTCTGTGCATTTGCCATGACTCCTAGTGTGTGGCTTTAGATTTTCGTAATTGTCAATTTCCTTTCCGCAGTAAAAGCATATGTACCTTCCGCGCCATTTGAAAGGGACTAAATTGGTGTTGTTCAGTAATATTTGCAGGTTCCTCCTCATGATCCTATTAGCCTTGTGCCCATTAGTTGACTCATTTTCATCTGAAAAGATGAAAGAATCTATTTTATTATTGATAAGGCATTAATGACTCTTAAAGCTTCTTATATTTTATATTTAACATCGCTTTGGAAGTGTCAATTGCCTAATTCGGTACTCTAAATTTTATTTGACGGCTTTCCTCCTTTTTTCGGTTTCACCTAACACAGTTTTTATAATTATTTGTAATAAAAGATTTATCATAAAAACGCTTCTTTTGAAGTTATTTAATGGTAACTTTAATAATAACTTTTACATGGATGACATAAGCTTGCTTTAATGTAAGCTATATAAGTCGCTATTCTGGCTTGCCGTATGCATCCGTAAGCCCTTCATCTAAAATAATCTTTCATGTAAATTCTTCCAACTACTGCGTTTTACCATGTGCCGTCTCAGAAGAGATGTTCAATATTTTCTTGCCACTTACTATAAAAGCATTCTACATTCTCCTCCTTGAAATGTATCTTTATGTGGTATAGCCTGAAATAATCTCTCGTAAGCGTATGTCAGGACATACGCAATCAAGGGGCCTACATGTAAATCACGTAACATTTCTGATCTTGCCTAAAAGATTGGTAAATTATTGGAATTGCTCTGATACTTCTAAATAAAACATTAAGTTTTTGATTGAAGTACCCAAGTGGCAGCTACATAAAGCAATCTTAAATCCTCAATAATGTTAAATGTAAGCGTCAGTTCACAACGAAACGCGACGCGACGCTGCGCCCACATGTTCATATAGCTACTCTAAACATAACTTTATTTACTACTCGAAAAGATACACATTTCATTGTTTGAATTCAACATACTAATTAATAAAGTTATGTTTTCAGACGCTCTATTAAAACAAGACGTCAGGACCTATATTTGGCTCTTTGTTGCAATTTTAAATTTTTAGATAAGCTGTTGGTCAAAATAAATATATTTACGTAAATGAAATAATAAAATTTTTTTAGAGTAAGTAATTTTAATATGTTTAGGACATCAGTGACATATAAAATACATTATAATAAATTGTTAAAATTACTTTTATAGTGTATATAAATCTATAATATGCACAATGGCTTTTAAATGGACTAGTAAAGGAATGTATACAGTGCCGATACAAGTTAACTTCAATGCATACTGTACGGGTCTCTATTATGTCTAGCCAT